TTGTCATTAATAAATTCTATCAAAAGTCAAAAGAATAAACCCAATATAAGAATTCAAATTAATCGGATTCTAACATCGGAAACCTAAACAAAAATCGGAAGCAAGAAAGTTTCTAGAAGCTCCCTAGCCTTTGTATATAATGCACCATAAAGCCCCTAACTTTAATTTTTGTTCCAACTGATCCTAATACACAGCCACAAACCCTAGCTTTTCCGTTTACAGTCTCTCAGATCTGACAAATCCGCAACACCTAATCTTATAGCCATGGGTTCCAGGAAGAACGATTACGGCGATGGCGCTAGTCCGGGGTTCGTTTATTTTTTTTTTCCTTTCTCTTTTTGTTGGATAAACAATGAACTGTTTATGAAAAGATGTAGGTGAATTGCCCAAATTATTGTTTTACATACGAAGTTTGATGTATATTGATTTGGGATTTTTGTTGTTTTGTTTTTTGTTGAACAGAAAAATCTTTATTGGAGGTGTAGCGAAAGAGACGACGCGAGGTTAGTGTTTTTGAAAACTTGTTTTGATGTATTAACTGTTTCTTGCTAGTGGGGTTTTGATTTGCTGACGAGGGTGTTAATGAAAATTGTGTAGAACAATTTGTGAAGTACTTTGAGAAGTACGGGGAGATAATAGACTCGGTGATTATGAAAGATAGGCAAACAGGTAGACCCAGAGGTTTTGGGTTCATCACTTTTGCGGATCCAACAGTTGTAGACACTGTTATTGCTGAAAACCATATTATCAATGACAAACAAGTGAGTAGTTTAGCTTCAATTTATATGGCTTTATATAGCTCTTTCTTGATGTTCAATTGTACTCGAATTTGAGTTGAAATATTAGACAACTATGGTGAATTTTGTTGACTACTTGCAATATGTAGAAGTATGGTACATATGCTGGTGAGTTGTGAGTTCATGAGCTTGGTTGAGGAGGTTGTATTTTTTTATCAGACTTCCAAGTTTTACTGATTTTGTAAGCTTTAGCTGAAAATCATATTTGTTATAAGCACCTGCAAATTGTGGTATTGATTTTTCCTGGTCAGTTTATTTGAATTGAATTGGAACATTATTGATTCCTTGCTGTATGCGCACATACTTTAGTTAGTCATATGTTTGTGAGACTGTGAGCTCGATTGGTGGGTCTCATTAATTTATTAGAGTTCCGAGTATTACATGTTTTCTTTAGCTTCAGCTGAAAATCATCTTATTATAAGTTCTTGAAATATTGTGACTTGCAAACTTGTGGTATTTTCTTTGACTTGCAAAATTTTGGTATTTTCTTTTTCCAGGTTGAGATTAAAAGAACCATCCCGAAAGGGTCTGCTGATTCAAAGGATTTTAAAACAAGGAAGATATTTGTTGGTGGCATTCCAACTACCATGACTGAAGGTAACATTGTGCCATTTTGTTCTATACTGATACTGACTAGTTCTATTGTCTGGCAGTTGCAGTAGTATTTTTTAAGCTTGAAGTATTTAAACTGTTGTCACTGTTGTCTCTTGTACATTTATTGTCAGATGAATTCAAGAACTTTTTCTCCAAGTTTGGGAAAGTAACAGAGTATGAGATCATACGAGATCACGTGTCTAAGCGTTCTAGAGGCTTTGGATTTATTGTGTTTGACAATGAAGAAGTAGTTGATAATTTGCTGGCTGAGGGAAATAGGATGGACATGATGGGTACTCAGGTAAATTTTGTAGGATATTTCTTCATGATCTCAAATGTTCTGGGACATGACTGTCGTGCGTACATAGTGGATCCTGCGCTTTCATAGCATCCCCCAGCCTAGTTTTCTCCTTTTAACATATAGCTATATGCCTTAAGGAGCTGGATCCTGCGCTTTCATAGCCTGCGCTTTCATAGCATCCCCAGCCTAGTCTTCTCCTTTTAACATATAGCTATATGCCTTAAGGAGCTGCTGCATATGTGGTAGTTTAATTTAATGCGAGGAGTATAAGTTTGTAGGTTTCTCCATTGAGTATGCATCTTTAGTGCTCAGCTGTCAGGCTATTATGCAGGTGGAACTTCTAGGTTAACTTGCTTCTTTGTTGTAGGTTGAGATCAAGAAGGCAGAACCAAAGAAACCCTCAAACCCAGCTTCTGCTCCTGCATATGGTAGTAATTCTAGGGGGCGTGGATTTGGTGATAGTTATGGAGGATTTGCTGATTCATATAGCGGTTATGACAGTGGAGGTTTTGGCCCTGCTCCTTATAGGTCATTTGGATCTAGGTATGGTGACTATGGATACAGTGGTAGATATGGAGACTTTGGCAGTAGTGAATTTGGTGGTGGTTACCGTGGAGACCCCTCTCTTGGTTATTCCAGTCGTTTTGGCTCGTATGCTGGTGGTTATGGTGGGGGATACAGTAGCAGTGGGCTAGGAGCATATGGCCGTGGAGGTGGTTATGGTGGTTATGGGGGAGCTGGCCCTGGTGCTGGTTATGAATCTGGCCCTGGTGCTGCTTACGAATCTGGCAGTGGTGCTGGTTATGGTGGATCAGGAGGTTTATATGGAAGTAGGGGAGGGTATAGTGGCAGTGGCCGTTACCATCCTTACTCCAGGTAGATTTTCCTAAGCTTTATAGGAGTTGCATTCAGGTATCTTGGTTACTGCATCCTCAGGCAAGGTCGAGTAGATATCTTGGATCACTAGCAAGAGGACACCACCTAGAAGATTTGGAGAGGCCTAGTTTGCTACTTCTAATTACGACTGTGTGACCAGATAGATATTAGCTTCGGCTTTGTCTTAGTTTATAATTTTCTCTGTTTATGAACTATGGATTAGCTAGAACCTTCTTTCAGAGTTCTTTTGTGTGTCTTGTAAGTTTGGTTTCATAGATACATATGTAGCAGGCTCGTATTGTTCTATGCTTAGTAAGTACTCTACTTCACAGGTATCACTCTATCTTAAATTTATGAGCTTTTTACTTTTAAGAGATCTATGGTGTTTGCTGGTGTCTAGTGATCAATTTGTGTGTTTTAGTGAGCTTAGCTTGGTCATGCACAATCATAGTTGTGGATATTTTGGGTTGTTTTCCTTTGTGCCACTTTAAGTTTATCAGAAATATGTGCTGAGCCAGATCCCTCGAAGAATTTGATGAAGCCAATTACCTAAAACAGTAGATTGTTGGTCTGACGATTACTTTGTTTTAGAACCTGTTTATGTTGATTTTTTAAAGTGCTCTTAAGCTAGCTCTCAAGTTTCTTAAGTAAATTAAGAAGTGTTTATAAACTATGTTGCACGGACCCTTCAAAAATGACTACATGTACGGGTCAGATACTCTAAAAGTAGTGCATTTTGTAGAATCTGAATGGGTGTGGCAAGAATTTCGGAGAGTCCAAGCAACCTGGTTTTTTTAAGCACTTGGTTTAAGCTAAAATGCTAAAAATATATGAAAAGCCACAAGTTAGAGTTTCTTACTTTAGACTTTTGGCTTATAAGTTAAAAAAACGAAAAGCAATTGAATCAAGCTTAGTTTTGGATGGATGTGCATGTCTCATTTTGATCATTCATAGCTTAGGGTGCTTGCATCCTATCTTATTGAAAGTTGAAGTGGTGCTTACTTGTTTGTGCAGGAACAACAGTCCTATAGTACTTTCTTTCTTTTTCTATTTTCTCTATCTTTACTGTCACTTAAAATATTTTGTTTTGGTAATCAAGATCTATTTTGTTTATTATCTCTCATGTTATTAGTGCCTTTAATCTCGTAAACGGCTGTAGTTGATATCGTAATTTGTGTTGAATATGTACCCGAAATTCAGCTTATGTTCTTTGTATTATCATTAAAATGTGAACATGTACACTTCTATTGTGTTGATTTGTTTTGCTAATACTCTTACCTTTTAAAGTCCCAAATTCAATCTGGGGCTTATTAAGAGTATCAAGTATGTTTAAATGGAAAAGAAGGAGAATAGTGTTGTATTAACCTTTATATTAGAAGTAATATTATCAACGATGTCCTGCTTAAGAAACGGGTTGTTAAAGGTATAACCCCTTCCACACTCAGACTTGCCACCCATTTGCAGTTACGCTCTATTGGAGTTTTGAAAAAACAAAGAAGATATCTTGAATCTTTATTCTTGTGGATGTCAATTTTTTTTCGAAGTTGTGGTTTTTAATATATAGTGCTCATGCCATCATAAAGTTATATCTCCCAAAACAAGCTGTACCTAAGCTAGACATAACGATATGACTTGAATTTAAGCTTTCTTCTTATATTTTGTTAATATCCAGTCAAAAAGTAGTAGAAAAATTGTAAGGAGTTCAATGACAGGATTTTACGTTATGAAAATTCTACCGTCTATGGTTTGCAAACTTGTATGTGTGTGAAATTTCTTTTAAGAGTGCAATTTATGAAGTGGAGAAGATCAGCAGAGAAATGGAAGGAGGATATGCTGAAGAAATGAATGTAGTCTCTTTTCCTGATGTAAGATCAATATTTGAATTATGTTGGGTATGTTGTTAATGTACTTTAGCTTACCATGTACAGTGAATAAAACGCAGGCCTTTTTCTCTGGAACATTTTTATATTACCTTTTTTTTATTTCTTACTGGTTCACAAGTTCATTCTATTGCGATCTTCATAAACATAAAAAGGAAAATATATGTCCAGATGACAGACAAGGAGAAGTATTAAATCAATCTACTTGTTCATCTAAGAATGTTGTAGGGAGGTTTTTCTAAATAAAATTCCACATGTAGAAGTCATAAAATTGAAATCTCCTCACTACAGTTCCAATCAAGCTTTTTACCTAAGCGTTTTTTTTTTCCCCATACATTGGTTGATATCAATCATCCTAAGACTTGCTGGAGTTTTTGATTCCGAAACAAACTTGCTGATAGGAAAACACATTCTCATCATGAGAGAGATTTAGCTTGGAGGGATCTCAAGAAGAAATGGTACAAAATTACTAGTCTTTATGACCACAAGGTCAATGTATGCAAGTACCAAAACGAGAGGGGGATTTACAGTGTAACAGAAACAAAGTGGTGGTCAGTTGCACTTAACACCAGCTTCTGCAGCACGGCGAGGCTTGTTTTTCCGCCTATGACGGGAAGCAGTATTGGATTCATCAGTTGTTCCATTACCATTTTCCTCTTTTACTGAATCATGCTTTTCTTTCACCCGAGTATTCCGTCTCCTCTTGTTCCCATTGATCTCCAAGTTTTGAATTCCAAGCTCAGAATCATCCTCCTCTTCAATCATCTCAACTGCTTCTTCATCAATGTCATCTTTGAGTGATTTTGTTGGCCTTCCTCTCCTCTTCTGTGGAGGGATCTTTTCTTCCTCATCACTTCCTGGATCATCAGTCAATTTCTTACCCTTTCCTCTACCTCGACCCATTTGCCTGCTAAACATCAGGAGACATGAATCAACTAGGTTAGTGTATTGGGAACACTCTTTTCTTACCAGCTCATCTTTGGAACAAAGAAACCTAATCCAGACAATATGGAATTTCAGCAGTACAGGCTGTAAAAAATAGTGTCAGCACTACCAACTGTGAGATAGTCGCACAGTGTAAGGAATTTTCAGGTATTTACCCCAATAAAAAGAATCACAAGTAAGGGGGCGTATTGAGATAATTAAATAATTAAAAGTATGCCTTCTCAAACAACATAACTTTTAGCTTAGCTTATAGATGAGATGATCACACTTCAGCAGTATAAGCTACTTCTACAATACAATGTACAGCTAGTTCTGGGGACAAGATTGCATCCAAGAAAAGAAAGAGAGAGAACAAAGAATACAACCAAACCTAACAACCAGTAAAATACTAACTTATTGAGTTATGGACTTGACAGAGTCAATCGATCAAACTAAACCTCAATCCCCAAAATTGGACTTCATAGCGTAATATCATAACTTAAGAGTGACCAAACTAAAAGGCCACTTCAAAGTGACAGTATACTTCTTTTTTGAGCCAAGGAGCACAAAATAAGGAAGAAATTCAAGTAAGAATCTACTTGTTTTTTTAAAAACAAAGGTTCTCTATTTTATTTGGGCATGGATGAAGAATTCACAGATTTGCACTTAATGTAGCTGAAGCTACCATCAAGATGAACAACATTTCCAACTTATCAAGTGTAAAGGCACAAAGCATTGAACTCAGATCATTTGGTTAAGGGCGGAAGTATATTTATATCATGTTTCCTCATTCCTGAAACATAGGTTCTTTTGAAAAGGAAGTGAAACCTTGATGAATCATTTTTCAACACTATTGCAAAAAGCAACGCAAGTATATCTTATACGTTCTTACCATTATCTAATTGTTTAAAAGCAAATGTTGCGTCACATTCCTAGATCTATTTCTGTGTATCATGCTCCTCTACAACCAACTGGAACCAGGCATCTTATTGAATCCTTTGTCCTTCATCATGTTCCTCACATTCTCAACATTATCCCACTCTCCCTCAGCAGCATAAATGTTTGAAAGGGCTACAAGACCTTCAGGCTTCTTCAGGTCCATCTGTAATATATCCTTAGCCATCTTTTCAGCAAGATCTCTCCTTGCATAGACCTTACAGCCACTGAAGAAAGCACCAACAATTGAATCTGTAACTTCTATTGCCATATCTTTGACTATATTGTAAGCCTCCTCCAGCCTCCCGACACGACACAAAAGATCAATAACACAAGCATAATGCTCTTTCCTTGCTCTAATGCCATAAGACTCCTCCATGGACCAAAAGATCTTCAAACCCTTCTCAACTAAACCACCATGACTACATGCAGAAAGAAGAGAAGTTAAGGTTACTTCATTAGGCAGCACTCCTTCATACTGCATCTTCTCGAAAAGTTTGATTGCATGTTCTATTCTGCCATGCTTCCCATAACAACTTATCATAGCATTCCATGATGCAACATTCTTCAAAGGAACAGAACTGAAAACATTCCAAGCATCTTCTACACTCCCACATCGACTGTACATGTCAATGAGAGCACTAGCGACAAAGACATTAGCAAAAAGCTCTAATCTATATGCTAAGCCATGGATTTCTTTCCCTGTATATGCAGAGTCAATCAACCCACAGACTGGCAGAAGCCCAGTGAGCGTGATTTCATTAGGCTTCACTCCAGCATCCAACATTTCCTGCAATAATGCTAGAGCTTCAGTTGATCTGTGGCTCTGAACATACCCTGAGACCATTGCATTCCAGGTAACCAAATCTGGAGTCAACCCCTCTTCACTCATTTTTGAGAGTAACATAAAAGCTGTGTCACAGTCTCCTCTCCTAGCATATCCAGCGATCATTACATTCCATGTAAAATCATTAGGCTTTATGCCTTCTAACCTCATTTTTTCAAACAAAATAAAGGATTCTTCAATTTTCCCCACGTTAGCATATGAATATATCATTGATGTCCAAGATACAATATCTCTCTCGACCATTACATTAAAAACTAAACGAGCATATTCCGTACTGCCACATTTGCCATACATATTAATCAAGGAATTGGCAACCGATAGCTCTGACTCAAATCCCATTCTATATATCATACTCTGCACTTCCTTTCCTTTGTTCAGATCCATTAGACCAACACATACTTTTAACACTAAAGCAAATGTGTACTTGTTCGGAATAGTTCTTGATTGTTGAAGAAGAGAGAAGTACCCAATGGATTTCTCAGGGTAGCCATGGAATGCTAAAGCTGAAATCATCCAATTAAATGCAAAAATATTCAGGTTTGTTGTTCTTTGGAACACAAGCTCAGCAGAACCTAGATCCCCGCAACTTGCGTAGGCACCGATGAGCTTGGAATTCAATGACAAAGCATTCATGTCAGTGTGTGATGTTAACATTAATGCATGAATTTGCTTGCACGGTTGCAGCAACTTGTCTTTCAAGCATTTTTGTAGTAACAAGCCAAAACCGCTTACAGACAGGTTGATTGGGGATAAGAGGTACAATTTCATGTCCAAAAGGAAGTCTCAAATAGAAACACTCTTACATGTGTTGATTTTCGATATTTTACTGGAATCTGCAATTGTAAGACTGTAAGATAACATAGTCAAATACAATAGAACCCAATTCAAAACCCAAAAGCGCAACCTTTAACATCAATCTTGTTCATACAACCACGAACACGAGATGATCAAATTCCCATTCCTAACCACAAAAAGATATAAAAACAATTCAAAATTGAGTTCTTTATCATCCTGCAAAGATCTGGAGAGACAGCAAGTCAGTCCTACTGATTCAAGAGTACTGAATCAAAAAATCTAACTCTTGCAGACAAAGCCACAGAAGCCTCAATTTCTACATCTGGTAAACATTCCTCCATTTGTAAACTGAAGACTCACTGTAAGACAGACACATATTGCTAATTAACCAGTAATAGTACCCTACATCCCCATCAGAAGCAAAATCAAGAAAGCAATACACCCTTTACACTCTATTAGAAGGATTTGAGTTAAACGAATCACTTTACAGTCACAAATGAGATCTCATTGAACATCAACACAAACATGCAAATCCAAACTAACAAAAGAGAAATTAGATCCAAAAGATTAGAACAGAAATCACCATCAACTCTTATAAAAATCAAAAGACACAGTGGGAGAAACCAAAAACTGATAGATGGGTACTCACCAAATGACTCACTGGAGCAAAAATAATCAGTCAAACCATGAGATGAAACTTCAAGAACACGTCGACCCAGATTTGTTTACCTCGAATATATACCCTCCTAGCCACTAAAATCAGCAAAAACGAAAAGGGTCAAGAACAGATCCAGAATAGCTTGCAACCCAAATACAGAAAGTTAATAAAAATGAAGTCTTGGTCGTCAACTGAGATGACAGTAGAGCTCCTCCATCAGCAGAAAAAGAAACATGGAACAGAGAGAGAGGAGAGCTAAAGAAGAGTGGAAAAGGATATTTGCTCAACGGTTGTGTAGAGGCTGCAAGTGTGAGTTAACTTAGCTACATAAGGAGAGAGTATGGTACTCCCAATCTCTCATCTGCTTACCAGTAAAATGTGTGTATTTGAAAACCAACTAATTTACATAATCTATTAATTAGACACTATAATTGGTAAGCATAAACATTATGTTTTATTTTTTGTTTCAGTGTCCGATATTTAAATTGAAGTTCGACTAAATCTTTACTTATACACTTCCTAATAAATACTATCTCATATCCGAAGAAATTCGATTTTGAGATCTCTTGGTTAAAAAATGTAAGACCCTTCTTTAGATAAATTTTAATGTGTGAAGAAGTATATGTATATATTAAAAAATATTAAATATTATTCGTATATATTTACAAGTACGACTACTAGTAGTAATATTGAATACACACGTTTTAAAAAAATAAACGGAATGATTTGAGAGATTTTTGTATTTTGTTCCTAACATTTTTTTGATAGTTAAGCTTGTTAATTTATTTACCTATTTTTTTTAATGGTCGATTAACTAGACCATTCCACTACACGAAGTTTCAATTACATATTTGAATTCATTTAAAACAAGAGTTTTAAGCACTTGTGTTATTGTGTGTTCCATACACGCATATCCACGTTAGAAAAATTAATCACATTATGTGATATATAATTGGTCACATCATTTTTATATTCTTATACGAAAATATACTTTTATCTTTTATTTTATTTTCTTTTTAGAATTTAAGTTTTATATGATTTTGACTAAAAATGATATTTTACAAATATTTACAGCCATTTTTTTGATAATAATTCGCAAGGAACTCCACTTTTGTTTTTACTTTTATAAAACAAATCCATCCAATGAAACATATACAAAAATATATAAAAAATAAAATCTTTAGAAAAATGACTCTTACTAAAGTGGAACACAAAATGATGAAGTTTATCAAAGTTATAGTTTGGAAATTTTGATTTTAGAATAGCGAGCTGGAGTTTCATATATCAAAACTTTAAAAATTAGCATCGATTGATTGAGGATAATTTTTTTCAGATAGACTTTCATGTCAAAAGAGTTGGCTAAATGGTAGTGCTAACAAGATTAAAAATAGTGATTAATATTTAATACCAAGTATCAAAAATGGCTATTTACCAATATTACACGACGTAATTATTCTTCCTTTATTGAATACTCAAAAATAGTGAAAACGAATGACGTTAGTCTTCGAAACTTGCTCATTTTTCAAATCATTATTGATCATATTCTTTAATACTATCATTTTAGTACAAATTAAAGACTGACAAAACAAGAAGAAAGTTTACCATAAAAATTCTCTTTCTTTTATTGAAAAAAATTCAGTCCATACAGCCTCTAATTTCAATGAAAATATTATGTTTGTGAATTAAAGTATATATACACACACTTTAATTCACAGTAAATACTGGTAAGCATAAATTTGGACATTGGTGGATAGTGAGAAAAACAACATTTCTCCACTTTTGATAGTACGTTGTAATTGAAGAGCACATAAGAAGCAATTGTTATCGACTTAAAAGCTTAGTTCGATCCTCGTATAGCACATTCTTCAGCTCGTGTTAGTGCGTCAGTTATAACATCTATTGTCCAATCCTTGACATCTTCCTGCAATCAAATGAAACAACATAGTCATTCATGCAGCTGAACCAGGAAGATTATTGAGGGAACAAGAAAGCATAAATGGTACATTACCACTTTATAAGATAACTAAAACACGATGATCTCAGGAACACAAGTGACGGGTAATTCTATCCACCAAGGGTTGGACAAATGTGAAGAAACCACCTAGTGTTATTTTTGCCTCTACTAGGATTTAAACTTGAGACCTCATGGTTGTCAACTACTTTGTTGACACTAAGACATGCCCTTGGCACCCAAGTAATGCAATGCAAATACCAACAACTCCAATTTTTGTTTTTTCCTCTTTCGAAGGAAATGGGATGTCAAATACCAAGAAGTTCAATTTTGAATAAGTTCAAACTTGACTGTGCTTGATTTCATGTTAAATGCATGATACTACGTGTGGATGATTGTTGAAAATTACCCAATTTTGAAATAATATTTGTCAAAGTAATTATCTTTAGGCTTCTTATTCGTTGAATAGCACAAAGTACATTTTTTACACATGTTTAGCCATTTTTGACACAAATTTGTTGATAATCAATCCTTCTTTATGAAAATATGAGAATTTTTATCAATTATCGTTTCCGTTAATTTCAATTATCACTAATTTTCACTAAAATGTTATTTCATAAAGTTCACTATCTATGGGGCCTCAAATTTCAAGAGGTCTAAAGCAAAAGCTTCATTGATTTTCCTCTTGAGCCATTCTTGTCCCTTAAATGGTGACACTTAGAAAAATTCTTCGTACACCACTGCCTCCACACCCTCCTACCTAAGGTCATGTCTTTGGTAACCTGAAGCCGTGTCATGTTCTGTCTAATCACCTGTCCCCAATACATCTTCGATCTAACTCTACCTCTCCTCGTACCAACTAGAAACTACACGAGAACTTGAGGATTTAGTTAAAATTTTATCTGGATCCCTCGGATTTATCTATGCTAAAACCGTATGATAGCTCTATTACAATTAGCAAGAGACCAAAAGCACTAACGTGGTTTCAGATTTTCACCTTGTCATAAATATCAATGTAAGTCCATATTCACAATAACAGTGACAAAGGGCTTCACCTCTAAATTCACTGGTAGAAGCAGATAATAGGGAAACAGAAAGGAATAATGGGGTTACGACAAACACGGATAAGGTCTAGATGGGTTGGAGTAAAATTGAGAAGCCACTAGGAAATATCGGGAGGGAGCAAATACCGCGATAAATTAAGGATTTGGTGCAGGCATGAACCATTGAAAATGTTGCGTCAGTAACGACTATGACTAGTCAAGAGTAAGCTGTTTGCTGAAGGAGATGGAGGAGAAATACTGATAGGATCCTGCAAGGTAGTGCAAATGATAAATGGAAGGTATACAACTAACAGGAATATAGGGGCGACTATCGGATTAAAACATAAAGTGAAACAAGAATCTTATAATAGAGTGTGTCGTCTAAATATCCGTCCATACTAGTTAGTAGTCATATATTGCTTCTATAATTTCTTGTCCTTTGATTCTGCTACTATTTGTACTTCCATTACTTCTTTTTTTGGATTGCTTGGACGGTTGTTCATTGAGCCAAGGGTCTATTGGATGCAACCACACTACCTCTTAGGTAGGGATAAGGTCTGCGCAAACTCTATCTTCCCTTGACTCCAATGAGTGGATTACACTCCAACGAGTCACAAGATTTGATTTTATTTTTTTATTTTTTATGAAGTGAGATTTCATTAAGGCATCTAGTAGAAGTAAGGATACAAAAGGTGGGGGATCTGTCAGCTCAGTAAGAACAAAGAACTTAGGGGTCGTTTGGTTTGAATTCAAGTTATAATGGGATTATTTTTTATTGAGAGTTTGGTTTATTGCAAAGTGATGTAATAAAAGGATTGAAATATACATTTTTGTCATTTACTTATTTTATCTGGGATTACTATACCACCCAAAGGGAGGGATAACTTATCCGGGTACTAATTTTTAATCCCGGAATAAGTTATTTCGGACTTGCCAACTAAACAACAAATTAAGTGATACTATAATTTAATCCCAAGACTATTTGATATTATCCTTCCCACCAAACGACCCCTTACAAAGCTAAAGAGCTGACAAAATCCAGGTAATAATCTAAGTTATTTACAGGGGAAATGTTGGCCCAACTAAAAAAGTTAACCAAAGGACTAGCCTTAAGCTTACAAATTGGAATTAAAACTCCATCAAAATATCTACTGTTTCTTTCATTCCAAATAACCCAAAAAATACAAGTTGGGGTCATGAATCATGATCTAGATTTTTCCGATAGATTTTCTAACTTCCATAGAGCTCCAACTAGTGTAGGCATCTCTGATATTAAAGGGGCATGGACCAACTTATACCAAAAAGTGCTAGATCTCATAAGATTTCATTTTCTTGAAACAATAACTTAAATGATAGGTTTGCAGCTAATGAAAAAAAGAGAAATGGATTAAATTTGTTGTACATCACCCAAAAAGTCATGGGAAAAGATTAGTTTTGACTGCCAGGAGATCGTCATTGTAGTTGCAGGAATAGTGGACAAACACTCGTGCTGCCAGAATAACTCCTGAAGAAAATAAATGCAGGTAACTGCAGGAACGGTCACCAAAAAGGCGTGTGGTGTTGCTGGAAAGATGTGCAGCTCCACCAAAAAAGCCACGGAAAAAAATGTGAGGTGTCACTGAAAAGGTTTCTAGAAACACGCTCGATGCTACGTAACGATCACCAAGATTAGGCCCGGTGCAATCACAATAATCACTGACATTAGCCATGATATTACGAAACGGGCACGGTAAATAAGAGTAATGCCCATCGGAATGAGGGTTTTAGATTCTACTAAGATCATACAAGATTCTGATAGCATGTGAGGAATTAAGAGAAGAGAAAATATGTATTAACTACTTTCCGATAATTAATACAATATACACTTACTTTAGGTGAAAAACAAAAGATCTTGCATCTAACCCATTCGAAAAGTAAAATATCACTAGTATAGAAACTTGACTAGCTATCTAACACCACCTTAATTTTGCACTAAGGTTGGCATGCCTAGTTCTAGACCAACAGGCAAACAATGTGACCATACCGATAAACCTCTAGACCCTACAACATCATTTGTCATTATTGATATTCTGCTAAAAAGCATTCCCACTAGTAGCCTGAATGTCTTACATCTATAGGAAGCTTTCTAACCCATTTTGTTTGTTCTCTAGAATGTTAGCAGGAAAAATACCTATCACCAGATAAATGAAAGGTTAAAGAAGTATGCATTTACCATCTTCAAAGGCTCCCCTGTCCTAAGCTTTGCATTTGGACGAGCTAGTTTAGATTCAAACGGAGTTCTTGGTCGCACTTCCTGAACTGATTCCCATTCCTCGCGGGTAAGCATCCTAACTGTTCCTTGACCAGCAGGCGCATTCATTATTTTTCGCTCAATCATATCTTGCGACTTTGAGTCATCATACTGCATGCAAACACAATTGTAACTTATAAGCTACTCAGTTGATTTATAGATTGTAAAACATACAAGCAAGTTTACTACACCAAAGAATTGAAAATATCTTAGTGTTCACCCCAAGTCTAACACATCCCTACCTGTAGAATAAACTTTTAAAAGTAACGACTCAATGCAATAAACCTTGGCTTGTATGGGGAGACTTCAACACTCTTCTACAAAGTCAAGATAGATTGTATGGTGCCCCAGTAACAAGAGACGAATGTGAGCTATGAATGTTGATGGTCAGTTGTGTTGGAAGGTGGGAGATAAAGTTTCGAAATATATTCTTAAGCTATATGGTAGAACATTCAACTCGAAAAAAGTCCTATAGTAAACTATTATTTCTAAAAATCATGTCTTTCACCCCTCTCGCATTGTTTGTTTTCAACTCAAGATCTTTATTGTTTTACATGTAAGAGTAGCAAATGTTTTTCTAAAGCTTGAATTATCACATTGACATTTTTTTTGGTGACACATAACATTTTTGTGCAAACGCTATGTCCTCAATACTAGTTCCATGTATGACCTATTAGAAAACAGTTCCATGTATGAATGTAGTAGATTACATCATACGCCCTTCATTTCATTGAATGATCACCTGTTTTGACGGACATGTATTTTAAGAATAAAATGTTTAACCACATTACTGTATTCACTTTGGTCATAGAATGTTTGAAGTAATAGTTTTGTCAAGAAAAATGGAATAATTAGTTGAAAACACGTCATGCCATTTTACTATTTATATGAAGTAGTATTTCTTATATTAGTATGAATTGTTTGAGAGAGAGAAGTTTTATATGAGTTAGTCAGTAGGTTATTTTTGGAGGGAACACTATCTTAAGTCAGTTTTACTAGCTTTGTGCTATCTTTTAGGTCTTTATAAGTTGTATAATTGATTAACCATTTTCTGTAAATTGTAGGGCAAGATAGATGAATTGGAAGGTGGATTTATTTTGTTTGATTCTGTTACTAGTCTTCATGCTGCCCTACTATCATTGCTACCTGATGCTTTGCAACAGTGGTAAGTTGCTTTAATTATGATCATGCTCAATTAAAACTTCAGTTTTCACCTTTATGCGCCTTTATTGAATCTGGTTTTTCCTCTTTTTTTCTGTTCTTTTTAACCTATCTATACTTCTATTTTTATTTTTTTGTTCTTGCTGTTGATGAGAATCAGACGAAGCTGCTTTCTGTGCTGCCATTTTAGTCCCAAGATGCTTCTAGGCACAAAAATGTGATCTTTTCTTTCCCTTTGGAATGAAGAAGGTCTAAGCCTATTACTAGGATAGTATGCAGTTGCTCCCATGCTGATCTAATATACAATTTAGATGGATGTGCTTTGTGGAAATATCAGGATAGTATTTACAAGAATCACTACATGGGTTTTATTTGCCCAATTTCCCCGTCTAAGCGTAATTCTTACCTGCAACCTTGGCTATACTTTCTCATGCACATGGAAGTTTCATGGTGGTTACTTTAAAAAAGATTAAGTAGATAGTGTCCTTCTGTATGCTTGCTAGTTGCTTCATCACCTTATATGTACTTTGTTGAAAGTACTAATTTGTATCATGCTTTTGAAGTAGAAGGAAATTTTTTTTACCATGTGGATTAATTTATGAGCTATGAATTCAGAAAGCTGCTTATTTTGGAATGGGTGAAGACTTGATCTGGTTATGGGTTACTAAGGCTAGCTTACAATTTTAGCATTTTATGCACTTCAATAGAATTAACTTCGTGGTGTAGGGTAATTCTCACCTTATAAGTTAGCTTGTACCGTTGAGTTAGACCCAAAGTTCATTTTCTTAATATGCTACTTTCCAATTTTTGGATATCCAATGTTGGGCCACCATTTTGTTTTTTTGTTGTCCGCACTTGTCCAACCTTGAGTGTGCAGGAGGGAGGGGGATTTAAGTGAGTGTCCTACATTGATTGAGAGAATGAGTTGTTGTTTACTGTTGTTGTATATTGTTGTACTGATGGCACATCATTGCCCTTTTATGCAACTTCATTGTAAATCAATTGACTACTCCTAAATGACTAAATCTCCAGTAAGAGCCCAAATAATAATAATATAATAACCATGTATAATTAGGACAAAGTTTTGAATGGAACCATAGAGCAGTTTGATTTTAGTACTCCAATGCTGTTCCAGCATTCTCTCTCTCATGAACACAAGTTGCATACTTTTTAACCATTAAAACGATTTGCTTACACTTAATGAATCTTAGATTGTACCATCTCAATCACGTCTCTTCAAAGATGTTCTGAATCTTGATTCTGTATTTCAGGCGTGAGGAAGGAACGGGCTGCAGTGGGTGCTGTCTTATTCTTGTTGGCTTTTCTCTACGATTTTTGGCGCTTGGGCATTCTGTGGCTTAGTATTGATGACAAGCCAGAAAAATGACTTGAAGCAAGGGTGGCCAAGAAGTTACCTTCTAGCGGTAGGAAGGAGCAGCATACTGTAAACTAATGGCCATAAACCCATGATATACTAAAGTCCCACTAGCACTTCATTCATACGGAATCCATCATCTCCGTTCAAATTAAGGAGCTTTTTTAAGAAATACAAGTCTGTCAACTGCAATCACAAGGACTAAGAATAAACACAATACAAAGTGGAGAGTTTCAAAGAGAGAAGCAAATAAGCATCATGTTCTTAAAGGCGTACAAGCGTTTCTGTCATAATTTGTTATTTCAATCACTTGTGAGCACACTCAAGAACTATTTGCTTGCAATTGCCTCTTAAATGCTTTGAACCACAATCCATAATAACACATTCATTCAGTATAATCCCAAAAATGAGGTCTGGGGAGGATAGTGTGTTCATAGCTTTATTCCTACCTTGTGAAAGTAGGGATAATAGTTCCAATAGACCATCGGCTCAAATAAAACATTAGAAAAAATAACTACGTAAACTAAGATAGTAGCATAACAATACTGAAAATGGAACTAGACAATGCCAAAAAACTAAAGAAGATGACTTTAAGCTGGAAGAAACCATAAAAAGAGAATATTCAGAAGCAAAATTATGATATGTTACCGGGGTCTGGTTAGGAGCAAAGAAGAAAACATAGTACATGAGTCCAGACCACAAACCAAACAATACAAACGACGTCGTCCAATTCCATTGGTCACCATTTCCTCCATTATTTTTTTAAACAATAAATCAAAGTTGAGATATTTTTGACCCTTTTCCTTTAAGAAATAGCCAAAATAGCTTTCAAAAAGCACGACATGACAAATAAAAGTTAATAGAAAGTGCACTTTTTTACCTTACTTGCATGACATGAATAAAATATTTGCCATGTTGGACTGCCTACTGGAAGGTCATGTCAGCACATATGGTAAAAATATCATTTTAAGGTCTTTGTGGTCCAACAAGGGTAGTTTTAATTAGGGGCGGAGCTACTGTATCAAAAGGGAGTTCGAACCAAGCAATTGACTTTTTCGCCCTCATGTTGAAATATGAAATAAAAAATAGATATATTTCCTGCAAACTCACAATCAAATTGCAGCGGATGGCCTAGTGGTTCTTGTGCACCCAACAATTTCCTTTTGCCGTGGGTTCGAACCTTGATGTGGGCACAGGACACTTTGTTTTTTAAATTAATTTTTCTATCTTAAAGATTAAAATATTTTATACAAATAAGAAATCCCTTAAAAGAAAAAATGGAAAAATAGTTCTATCTTAATGATTAAAATATTTTATACAAATAAGAAAATTCATTAAAAGAAAAAATAAAAAAATAGTGGTTATCACTTGTGTCCTACTCTGAATTAAAAACTTTTCAGCAAAATTTATTTTCAAATGTTAGGTTTTAACTTTTATTTTTGATTTAATTGTTATCCGATCTCTGCCCTCTGATATGTATTTTGTACTCGTGTCACTTCTTTTTTCATTTTTTTCCTTATTTGTTTGCTTTATCCTATATAATTATTTATTCAAAATTAGAATTTTAATTTTTAATTCTCGTTTATTCCGCAAATTGATAATTGATTATGTTAAAATAAATGTTGTTTGCTTTTCAAATCTAGGTGATAATAAATGTGATAAAATATATGTTTTAGGTGCTAAAATTTTAATGGTGAATTTAATAATTTTAATCCCACTTATAAAAATATTGAAGATTATGGTAAAAGTGTTGAGAATTTTACATTAAAAATTATTTACATTTTATAAATGATATTTTAATTTTTTTAAATTAAATTACTCAGATCTTCATGTTATTAAATTATGTTTTACAATAAGAATATTTAAGATAATGTTTTCAAATAGGACTAACATCTCCTTAACATAAGTTGTGATTTTTAAGATTCAAATAGTCTTTTTTTTAGTGAATTAAATACTTGCATATGTATTCATCTTTAGGTTAAAATCATTGTCCTTTTTATAATTTAGAACCCATAAGCCTAAAATTCTGGTTTCACCTTTGATTTTGATAACATAAACTAAGAGTATACGTGAGCTATTTTAAATAGTTCAAAGATAATTTTAATTCTTTTCTATTAAAAAAACAATGATTGACAAAATAAATTTACCAATTTAGTTCTGCTAATTATGATGTGCATGAGTTAATGAATTTTTATTATTTTTTTAAAAAATAATTAATTGTTGATACATTCTTTCAAGAAATTAATTGAAGATAATTTGTTGATATCATTCTTTTGCTTTTAAATTTTTTTCTTTAAAATTAGAAATTGTAAATGAAAAACTCATTAAGAAAAGAATCATTTTGAGATTGAAGTACTCGATTAAAAATAAAAATAAAAATAAATGCCTATCTATATATTTTATTAATTTTTAATTCATCACGAATATAAATTATATAACAATTTAAAAATTAAAATTTTATTAATTATTTAAATTTTATTCATATAATTTAAAATAAAACAAAAAAAAATAGATATTAAATTCGTATTAGCACTAGATACTTGTGTCTAATTTTTTCGTTTTTTCAAAGGAGACGAATAATTCAAAGAGAGAGAAG